TGTGTGTGTATATATATATATATATATATATATATATATACATACACACATTATATATAATTTTTTAAAAATATATAATTAATTTGATTAATTGTGTTTCATAATCGTTACATTTGCACAAAAAGCCGGTAATATGGATTTTAATGGCAGTTCCATTGTGACAATTTACCCCATCGCACAAATGATGACCCGCTATAGCGGTCGCCGTGTCTTTGTGTGTATATACAGTGTGTGTTTACAGAGACATTTCAAACTCAACCCACAAAGACTGACTGCAGAAAAGTGTGACAACTAGCCCCGGTCTCTCCAAAAGATGAGTCTTTCCTCCGATGCAATGACAGCTGACGATCACGCAGGCACAAATCACACAGCTGTCATAGACTCAACGCAGGTGACTTGAGAATTATTCTGTTAATGGACTAACAGCGATAGTAAACACACACACACACACTCACTGTGACGGGTCTGTTTCGTCTCGGTTCGCAGCTCCTCCAGATGATGATGATGATGATGATGATGATGGTGTTTTCTGCGGCGAGTTTCGTTTTGTGTCGCTTGATCGAAATAATGCGATATATTCGGCGTAAGAGAATCGTGTCATCCTGGTATTGTCACAGACAAAGATGCTTGAGCCGCGCGCGCCTGTGTGTGTGTGTGTGTGTGTGTGTGTGTGTGGACGACACACACACACACACACACTCGAGTGCTCAGCTGTTCGCTGGGTTAATTTTAGGTTGCTCTTGACACGTGAGGACTGGAGTTCACCTTATTTGTCTACCCACTCAGCCAGCTGAGATAATTCTAGATAAGCTCGGAGTGGAATTACTGAGAAATGAGGGAAAGGCGTTCATTGAGCAGATCAGATGCAGTCAGGGCTCTATTGTCATGGCCTGCAGTCAAATGCCCGGGCCTTTTGTTTAGCTTCCTTACAAGCTTTCCTCAGAAACAAGTGGAGAAGTGAAGAGCTACACAAGAACTGGCTTGGCTCAGATTCTCTCTCATTCCTGACATGAATAACACTGATATCTGTAACTGTTTCAGTTCTGTTACTGTCATGGATCAGTGCTGGTATTCAGCCTGTTCGTATCGTTGCAGACATTTAGGCAAACTGCTTTTGTGAATTTGCATACGTTTCATGTTTATTAATAGGTCATGGAGCATTTATGACATTTGACAATCTTCAAGATTGTCATAAATGCTGTGATGTGTAAATGATCCAGAAATGAGGTGTTTTCACGTTTTGTAGTCACACAAACACACACATGAGATGGAGAGAGAGAGAGTGTGTCTGTGTGTGTGTGTGTGAGTGAGTGAGTGAGTGTGTGTCAGCTGATGCCTTTTATGGACATACTCCACTCTGTTTAGCTTCACTCACTCATTACAGCAGGATTGATGAAGTGGCAAGACATTTTTCAGCACCGTTACATTTCTATTAAACACATGCAAGGGTTGACGTCTAAAACTGAACGTGTAATCAAACAGGCCTCAGTCTATAACTGAAACACTGACGGTACATTTTACAGACCCGTGAAAGGGCTTGACATTTTCTGTTTTGAGCTGCATTTATAGTGTAATGTATCTACAGTACAGCCATGAACCACGAATCTGTGTAGTGCAGGATGAATCATCACTACTTTGATCTATTTTATAATGAGAAAGACTACATTTGAAGTTTGGAATAATTAAGATGTTTTTTCTCTTCTTCTCATCAAGACTGCATTTATTTAATCAATTTAATTTTTCAGGATTCTTTAATGAATAGAAAGTTCAAAACAACAGCATTCATCTGAAATCCGTTGTAATATTAGAAATGTCTTTACTCTCACTTTTGAGCAATTTAATGTATCCTTGATGAAGTAAAGTAATTTCTTAAGCAAAACAAACAAAAAAAAACTTTTCAATGATAGTGTCACAGTTTCTACAAAAATATTGTGCAGCACAACTGTTTTCAACATTGATAATAATGTTTCTCGAGCAGCAAATCAGCATATTAGAATGATTTCTGAAGATCATGTGACACTGAAGACTGCAGTAATGATGCTGAAAATACAGCTGCGCATCACAGAAATAAATTACAGTGTAACACATATTCACATAGAAAACAGCTGTTTTACACTGTAATAATATTTCACTGTTTTTACTGTATTTTTCATCAAGTGAATGCAGTCTTGGTGAACAGAAGAGACTTCTTTCAGAAACATTAAAACATCTTAATTATTACAAACTTTGACCAGTAGTGTGTGTGTGTATCTGCTAAAAGTGAAATCTATCAGCTAGCATACAGTATTCAACAGAAGAGAGTACAGTCTTGGGCAAGGATGCTATAATATCAGATGAATAAAAGCATCACCTCTCAATCGCTGCAGTATTTCTAGGCCCCACAGCAGAAACTGAACACATCTGTGAACGGCCTCGCTGACTGAACTGAAGCAGGAACAGAAGCCTGATGAGTCTGAGACCGGCGTGCTCATTCGTCTCAGACGGAGCCCAGCATGTAGCTGTGAACGGGTCAGGACCAGAGATGAGTGTCAAACGTGTCCGAGAGGTTCATGAGGGCCTGTGGATTATCAAAATAATATCTGCCAAGATGACTTCAGCCTCCTGAAGCTCGACAGAAGAGGAATATTCCAGCAACGATGCAAACCACACTGCCAGGATCACGCAAGAGTTCCTGAAGAAGAGAAAGGTGAAACCGGCTGGCCAAGTATGTCGCACGACTTCAATCCTTTGGTCTTCTAAAGAGAAAGACAGAACGACAAACCCTCAGCAATAAAAGCATTTTTGCAGCATGAATGAATGAGGTATTTAAACATCGCTTGTGCTTTAAAAAGGGTGAGGAGACTGAAAGAAACTCTGGGTTTACTGAAGAAAACCTGCTCCCGACTCAGAACTATATGAGAGCATGCTCATGCTTTACAGTGTTTTATTTGATTATTATATAGCAATTCAAGTGGGCTGTGTTCCAAAAACAACAATCTCACTTTGATAAGTTCCTTCCTACTTTAGCTGCAGCACAGGGTTCAGATCTGACTGAAATATGACTGTTCAGACTGAAGTCTTATTGCAAAGCACTGGAGCTGTATCTGATTTAGGACCACATGTGTAAGAGGCCTAAATCAGATTGGAAAAGATAAGACTACATGTGGTTAGTGCTGTTCATTGTTAAAAATAAAAAGATCTGAGTGATTGGCACTTTAGGGCCATCTGTGCGAGCCGCTCCAGAGTCCAGTATCTGCTGCTCTTGGTTCATGCAGTCGCTCGGCCATGAAACCATTTATGAAGCTCCTAACTATTAACGCCAGCTCTGGAATCAGCAGATTGTTGGCGACTTTTGAAAGCACTTTCACTTTCCAATAACATCACTTTATAGTTGACTGTGAAATATCTAGTAGGGATGAAATTTCACGAGCTGATTGTAAAGGTGGCATCCTATCACAGTGCCACGCTTGAATTGACAGAGCTCTTCAGAATGACCCGTTTTACCCACAGCTGAAATATAAATGCAGACTGCATGGCCAGTGCTTGAGTTTTTACACCTGTGGCAATGGGTCTGGTTGAAACACCTGAATTCAATAATTAAACAGCGGTGTTCCAGTACTTTTGTTCATATAGTGTATATCTGATTTAAAACCACATTCGGAAGTGGCTCAGAACGGATGCAAAAAAAAAAAAGTGTGTGCATATGAGGATATTACCAGTGACAGGATGATTGACAGCTTGGTTTATGGTGACAGACTGCATGTAACTATTAGCACATTTAATGATGTGTTAGTACGTCCCAAAGCCTCTTTGCTCTTCTATTTAACACTCAAAAGTATCTACTTTTTCCTCTTTTTATTGCACAGTGTATGCAGGCGGATTGAAGTTTGCTGATGGTTTCTGTTGCAGCCGGCGGCACTGAATGTCTAACCCCGACTCAAACACTAAGAAGATGCTGACTGATTCAGTAGAGGTGTGCGAGCCCAGCGGAAACAAAGCAGACAGACTGCAAACGGCACTATTTCCTCACTTTATTTCTTACAATACAATGTGCTTATCCACACAGTGTTCACAGAGTTTGGTAATGTTTTCTGTCTGAAGTATCGCTCCGTTAGTGTGTGTTTGGCCCTGTGCTGCTGTGTATTGAAGAGGCACGAGCGTCTCCAGTCAGTGGCTCAGTTCTTTGTGGGGTCAATCACTCTGCCCCTGAACAACAGGCTAGAAGTGGCTTCATGGTACAGAAAGAAGAAGAAGGGCCTGTTGATGATGAAGGTGGCTGGCAGAGAATAAGCCGTGATTCCCACTGATGTGACCGAGGCTGCAGTCGTGCCCTTCTCATCCACCTCGATGACGGCTTTATGCAGCACCTGCATGCACACACACACACGCTCTCACACTCACACACACACACATACACACACACACACACACACTGTGTGTGAGGCTGCAGTCACCTGTGAGACTCTCAGATGCGCGTCTTTGCTCAAACCCGTCAGGTTGGCTGAATGGAGGAAAACGCTGCTGATGCCCAGATGTGGCAGGATTTCATGCAAGTCGTAAGATTGCTCCATCTTGAACTTGGGCAGATGAACCTCCATTTTTCTGAGAGATAGTACAACATGTATAAGAGTAAATCATGATGTTTTAACTAGAGGTTAAACAAAGAGTTCCACCAAATATGAGCTTTCATTTATTCTCCCGAAGGTCTTTCCCGATAGCAGCAGCAGCAGCAGCTCATAGTGTGATGTTTGCGTCCTGCACTACAGTCTAATGATGCTTCGACTCTTTGAGACGACCTTATCTCATCAGTTTCATTCACTGATATGATGCTGCTGAGCTGAAAATGGTCTTTGTTTTGTGTTTATCAGTGTTTTGGAGGAACACAAGGCAGAGTAAATGGTGACACACACTAAAGTGAAAAGCAGCAGCTCTACAGCCGGATGCACACTGTATGATTTATGATTATTGCTTGTCACTGTATGAACATGATCCCAGCTGTAAGCCTCGTCACACTGTGGGATCTCAGTCGTCATCAGTGACTGTACGACAGTAAAAAGTGTTTCCGTGTCGTGTTCAATGACGGCGAGCCACATCCACACGCAGAACTGAAATGGTGGCTAGCAAACGAAAACAATCCGTGTATCATTCGATCATTCGTTTTTTGATTTAATATTCATTCATTAAACAAACAGACTTACAGGGTGAGCAGGGTAGGCTAAGACAGCTGTCATATCATACCCTGCCATGCCCAGCTGATGCAAAGAATAGAATTTATATCTACACAGAAGAAGCCCTGTCTAGACTCTGCCCCGGTATGAGTTGGTTTGAGCTATTCATTTGACTGTTT